ATTCGTGCTGAGGCCTTCTCTCTCTTAAGAAGTGTTGGTTTACCGCTCCTGTCCACCAAGGACGCTATTCCATGTCGAACATTGTTTTTTTTTATTATCAAATAAATTTTGCTTGTTTAACAATACAATCCACCTCATCATTAATTTTTATCATAAACTCATATGTACCAATGAATTTTATTTGTTAAGGATTTTTTCATTTTCTCCAAAATGAAACGAACTTTAACTGTTATAAAAAAATTTAAGTTAAAAGTATACACAGAGCTGAAACAGTAAACAATACACCTTAAAGTGAAAAAATAAATTTATGAAAATAAATAAATAAATCAGCCTAATAGTGCTGTTCAAGAACTAAATGACAGAATAACCAAATAAATGAGTATTTACGTTAAAAAGTTAAAGTAAGTCTTTACCTTCATATGACGCGTTTAATTAGTAATTATTATGAGGTTTTGTTAGCCAATCAGTTTTATTTAACTTTTTGAAACTAAAGTAAAATATTCTTGTTTTTAAAAACTTTTCTATTCCTTTCTTGGAACCTGTTCTAGGACTTAATGTGAGTACACAATAGTTTAAGTAGGATATAGTTTTACGTTTAATGCCTCTATCCAGTATTGTTGCTCAACCTTGTACCATTAAAAAATTGGATTATTTTTATAAGTTTTTTGATATTTTTAACGGATAATAATACAGAAATAAAAATTTGTGTTTAAAAAAGAATGTCAAGAAGTAATCATTATTATTAGTATTTGACAAAAAAAGTTTTCGTATTATAGTTTAATAATTTTATGCATCTTAAAATTGAAATGCCGTATCGACGAATAAGAATAGGCATTTTATGTTTAAAATTAATTGCGATGGTTAAACATAGCATTTCTTTAATTTTTGATAACTTATTTTAGGCTATGTATTTGTTTTTAGCACCCGTTTCCCCTTATAATTTAATCTATGAGCTTAGCAATATTTAATTAGGTATTTCATTTTGTTTTTTAAAATTTGTCTGATTCAAATTTTTTTTTTGTTGAATATTTTGAAACAATGATGTTTCTATGACTTCACAATGCTGAAATAAAATAATAAATTTTTTATGAAAATAAATGTATGTTTTTTAAACACAAAAAATAAACATTTTTCATGAATGCATTCAAACAACTCCACTTAGAGGGTTAGAAAATGTCTCAAAATGATCTAAAAATATTTGCCACCTGTAACAAAAGACGTAATTTCGATGTTGGGCCGGATCTCCATGGCTCTGGAATATGGTGATTGTTTACGAACCACCCCATAAAAACTTATAAACTATAAAAAAAAAACACGATCCAAATCGATGTTCCAATTCTCTAGTTATTAGCGACGACAGACATATATACAGACTTTTACTTATATGTCTTTAGAAATGTATTTTGAATTCAAAACTTGCAGGTGTTTTGAATAAACTGTGAAATGAAGTTTATATGTTTAGAATTAAATAAAATATGGTTATCATTATTTGAAACATAAAAACAAAGGTATCACTCTATTTCTAGCAGCTGTGAGAAACCCAATATCTCATTATCTATATTAGATACAGTGTGCAAAAAATAAACGGACCACCCTAAATAACTCTTGATCAACCTTTATGTTTAAGGGGAGGGAACCTCAACTATGCTTATTAATTAGTACAGACTATAATGTAAGTTACGAAATCAAGCCCAAAAATGTACTTTCGCTGAATAAACATATGTGTTTTAAGACGGATTCGTATTTCTCACCCCTAAAATATAAGAGATAAACCATTCTGGAAACATTGTCCAATAATTTGGTCAAAAGAGCGGTCTAAAGTTTCGACCCCTTAATTTAAATTTTGCTTTTTGGGTTCTTCACCATGTCTCGAGAACTTTTTAAGCAAATTGAAAATTTTTTGCACAGCATTATAAAACTCGTTTGACAAAATATAATTCCTCGCAAAATATAAATTTTAGAAAATTTAAATTTTTTTTTATTATTTCATTTAATAATGCTCCACAAAATTTTAAATTATGAGATGTATCATTTCTTACATCATTTAATCATTTTAAAGAATGTAATTTTACATGGCAAAATAACAATCTGAGCGAATGCGGTCGAATAGTTCCTGAGAAATCAAATTTTGAAAAACTCGCATTTTCAAAATTTAATTTTTCATAAACTATTTGACTAATTTTAATCAAGCTTTATATTTTACCATGGAAAATTACATTCTTTAAAATTATGTAAAATTTTTTAAACCCTACAATTCGAAATTGTTCGACTATTATTAAATAAAATAATAAAAATTGACTAAAATTTACTTTCTGCGCGTAATCCACACGTTGGACTAAAATTTTGACTAAATTTTGACTTCTGACTAAAATTTTTGGACTAGACATTTCAGATTGAGGTCACCCCCTATTTTTTAGGGGTGAGAAACCTGAGTCAGTCAAAAAAAAAGATATGTTTATTCAAGAGAAAATATGTTTTTGTGTCTGAATTCGTAGCTTTAATTATCATCAGCACTTATTATTTAGCATATTTGAGGTCACCTCCTCGAACCATTAAGATTGAGTTCTCGAATGTGGAGATCCGATCATTAGATAAAAGGTTATTCAGGATGGTCCATTTTTATTTTGCGCACTGTACATGCCTATGATAACTATTACCACAATACCAGTATATGCCATAATTAATTACCATTATTATAGTTAAGCATCACTCACATTAATAGCTTCGAAATATTTTTAGGCCTCAGAAAATAAAGTATTACAAAACTAATTGAAACTTCATTTAGAATTAGCATGTTTTTGAAATAAATTAGAAAAAATAATGTTCTACAGCTTACATTCAAAACACCTCTACCTACATTTATTTTGTAGATTTAGGATATATAGCTGTGAGAATTACTTTAGTTTTTGATATAATGAAATCCTTATAAACAAAAAATTAAGCACGCAAATTTATTAAAATTTTCTTAGTATTTATTTTTGAAACGTAAAATATTAATAACTATCAAGTTTTTTTTAAGATAAAGCGTTACAATATTTTTACAATTATGATACGGGATTGAATATATTTAGTCACGGAAAAAGTTAAAAAATAAATCTAAACCACATAGAAAAATTTAGGATTTTCCGCTTTTTATCATTTATGCTCTAACACTTCCTGATATACAATGGTCCAAACAACAAAATCGATTTGAAAATGTCTGAATCTAAATTTTCTCTCATACTTGCATTTGAAAAGACTCGCTAAACATACGGTTACTACACATCCTTTATGTGTAAATAAATGAGACGTGTCGTTGCATATTTTTTATAGTATTGTATAATCTTCGTAAAGTATTATGTAATTGTATAGTATTGTATACTTCGTACAGTATTGTATTATGTTATAATGTATTGTCGTTGCAAATATATTATAACATCCATAAAAAATTATATTAACCAAAAACGAGAAACATATCTTTTTGATAATAGATTTTAAAGAAAAAATCTCATATCTCGAATAAGATAAATGTCAAAGAAAGTATATAAATAGTTTGTAAAACATATCGGGAGACGAAATACAAAATACGTGATTGTAATTTTCTGAAATCAAGACAAAACAATTTGCTTTTTAAAAAAAAAACACAGATTCAAAACCAAATTCACTAAGAAATATTTCGTTTCCAAAAAATTAATTTAATAAATACTTATAGATACACATTACAGGTGATTACTTAAATTAAGAACTTATAAATCTTAACAAATTTAGCATTGACTTTGAATATTTGTTTATCATAATATAAATGCTGTATGACCTGCTAAACAATCGAAAGCAGTTGACCCATTACTGTATCTTAATCTACCAATGCAACTCAATTTTTAGATAAAAGACTTAATCATAGGAAAATATTATGCAAATAAGAAAATTTAATGCAGGTCAAATGTTTCCAAATTATCAACATTTTTAAATATTTATTAAAAATAATTATATTTTATTTATTTTTAATGTTGGTGAATGTCAATGCATTATATAGAGCCCAAAAACTATATTTAAAACTATAGAGCCTAAAAAATATAAGACTTTTTATAGAAAGGGAATTTTCTAAATTAAATATAGAATAAAAATATGCTGTACATTCACAAATACTTATATCATTCATTTTATTAAATTAAACTAATACATAAAGTTATACAACAGAAACAGTTTAAAAAAATACCGTATTTCTCCCCTAAACATGCTAAAACTACGATATTAAATGCATTTTTACTGAAAAATTCGAATTTCTTTCTTAATTTTGATCACCCAACTTTATTAAAATATTTTAAGGAAAAGATTTCAAAATTCTTAGAAATTTCATGTTTTAGAAATGAATTTTGAAAAGAAGTTTAATCTTAGAATAAATAAGCTTAATTAAGCGTATGTTTAATTTTGTGTAACCGAACCCAAAAATATTTTTGAAAATCTTTTTAGCATTTTACATGAAAAGATGTATCGAAGTAGGCTAGGAAAAAAACAATCGCTCCTCTAAGAATTTGCTGTAATAATTGAAGTCTAAAATACAACAAAGCGTAATAATATAAAATGGGGCATATTAATTCTTATTTTTACCATACATTTGCAAGATTTACGTTTATTTCAACCCAAGAAGTATTTATTTAAATTTTGTAAAAAAAAGTTTTAAAAAAATTTAACAAACCATTACTAAGATTATTACTGGATATAAATCTATATAATCAGAATAGATAAATATTTCTATGAAAACATTTCTAAAAATCTGCTTTATCTCTTAAAACATCATTTTTACAAGTGAAAATATTCTGAAACTATTGAAGATTCTAAGAAATATTTTTGCCACCTCAAAATGTTTTACCTGACTATTTGTTTATTTACAAAAATAACATTTATATTATTATAAAAACATTCATACAAGAGTTAAATAAATCAGAAAAAAATACAATTACAATGAATGATTCTGAGAAAAATAAACTTTTTCAAATATTCTTATCGGTTGATAAATTTTCTGTTGATAGGAAAGAGAAATTTTTCAAAGAGAGAAGGAAAGTTAACTTAACAGAAGTCTGAAATATCTTTTGAGATCTTAAAACAATGTATAATTGAATATTAGAACCAACATTTTGAATGCAAAAAAAAAATGAAAATAAAACATGGTTAAAAACAAGTTCTAAAAATCCAAGTATGCTTCCTTTAGTTACTGAAGGAAGAAAACTGCACACACAATTACTAGATAATATTTCATCACAAAAACTTCACATGGAATAGAAAAAACTGGCATAACAACACTATCTTGAATTTATAGAATAATTCGGTACTTGAGCAACAACAGCAACGTCAGCACTGTTACGATTTGCCACACCTGGTTCATTTGTTCGAAGAACCGCGTGAAATCCACCAGCGTCAGCAACGTAACTAACATGTCTATACACGCCATTCGAATCTCGGTAACCATAGCTCCCTCGAACCACACCGTCTTCACTTTGATTTTCTTCTCTGTGCTGCATATTTCCAAAATCATCTTTATGATTGTACTGAAACCTATAAGGCACCTGGGGTATCATATTTTTCGATTCTTCTAAGTAATAATCTCCACTTTTTATATTTGGTGCAATATCAGCAATGCAGTTGACGAACGCCACAACGAAATAAACACAGAACACGAAGAACTGAACATCCATCTTGGAAATCGATCTGAAACAACTATATCTTTTCAGAAAAACAATCAATTGTGGCTGAACTCTGGAATTGTTGTTTCTACAATGACCATTAAGGTACGCAAAATTATTAATAACTTTTTTCCCACTGAAATGAAATTGTATGTAAATAACTCGTAAAAATAACCTAGTAAACAGTGGAAAAGGAAAGAAAAAAAGAACAAGATGGCTAACTGAATTGCTCCAGAAGATGAGCTTTTTTGATGAGCAATAATGCATGAGGAAGTTATTCTCATATACGTGAGCATACACAAAAAGAGAATAAAAAGCCTTCATTATCTTCACTTTCGAACATAAAAGCTTTCGATTCAGTGGAGTGTAAAATTAATGTCAGTAAAAAAAGAGTTGTTCTATCCAAAGAAGCGTAACGGGTGTGGCACATATTAAGATTTGATTCGCGTCCTTGAGAAATGTAAACAATAACAGTACTTCCTCCATATCTTCTATAAGCAAATTCTTAGCGCGTCTGCAATACAGCGATGCTTAAAATAATTTTTTTGTGTTCGCGTCCCAATAATAAATAAAAACAGAGCTATTTAGGGTAAATGAATTCGCTAGAAGCAATAAAAGTTTATCTCTTTTTAAGATCAAAAGTATGCAAAAAAAATTATCAAATAAAAATGCTTTTTGGTTATTAAGTATATATAAATCTTAAATGCAATTAAGTCTTATTTTCATATGATGTTTTAATGTTGAATGGAAATGCACAAATTTTCTTTACTGTTGTATTAAAATTTTATTTATTCTACTTTCAAACTTCTTTGCATGTCTTATCTTTTTATGGTGCTCCGTAACCTAACAATGTGTTTCACAAATCAATATCAAATAAATTTTGTGAACAATATAATAGATAATAAATTCTTCGACCTTTTTGTGGATTTTTTTGTTTCGTTTAACATATGATTTATTGAAAAACCCCAATGCTATGTAATGTCTGATTTTATTTAGAACGCATAAATTGAATACAAATCACTATAACTATGAAAATTTAGATTTGAAAAGGAACATAAACTATGGTATTGAACTTTCAAAAATTTCATAAAAGATAAAATAAATACATATTCGCGAACTTAATATGACTTTTAAATTTAAAATTGGATATCAATATTTTATGTAATTTAACGCTAGATTGTCCAAAGAAGTAATTTTGACTGTTTCTTAATTTCAATTAGAAAAACAATGATGTATATAGTGACACAATTTCTTAGAATTTTGTGACTTTTTGCACAACATATAATTTTTTTTACTCTTAATATTTACTAATAACTTATTGTTATATAACTGTAAATAATATAAAAATATAAAAAATTCATTTTAAACAAATTTCTTTACACATTAGTTATTCTTTCACAATCCAATAATTTTGATTGCTTTTGTCAATATAGGTATATACTAAAGTTTCAATCTTTTTCGTGTTAAGAAATCTGGTTCAATACAAACCTTTTTGAAAAATGGATTTAGTGATGATTTTATATATAAAATAGAAAATAATAAATATCACTACATTTTTAAGAATAGCATTAAATAATTGAAAATTTAATTTTTCAAAATCGCAAAATGTGCTGAAAAAATGGTAAAAATGTTCAGACACAAATTTATATTTTTTAATTCATAAAATTATAGTTAAGGAGATATATATATAATATCCCAAGCGGTAAGAAATAGGGAAAATCTAAAAGTGATAAAGCTTTATTGTAAAATAAAGTATAGACTTGCAGTAAAATGTGTATGCACGAGTAAATAAATGTAAAAATTTGCTTAAAATATGCATTCTGGCAAAATTTGTCGAAGCAGTTCTTATAAACGCACACGAGGCAAGGTACATAAACTAATCTCACTTCCTAAGTTATAAAACCTCTATTTAGTGCATAAAAAGAAAACAACACTTTTAGACATACTATTAAAATTCCCTTAAAAATACTTAGAAAAAAAAACACGATTTTTTGCTAAATTACGTAAATTCTTGTGCAAACCCATATAGCTGAGTTTTTCGTTAAAAGAATTAATGAATACTAGTGGGCTGCGTCCCCTGCTCGGTAACGCTCGCCAACCCCCGAAAATTGCAACGCAATCTTATATGGTTTGCTTCGAAAACCAAGCTCGCTTCGCTCGCTACTAACTTAGGTACACTGCAAATGCGCAAAATTCTAAGAATTCAACACAATCATTCAAATACATAGAACAACTTTTTTTTTGAAAAAAATTGCATCTTTTTAGTAAATACTAAGTCATTAAAATAAATTTGAATTCAAATAAATGACATGTAATTCATTAAACCTATTAGAAATGTGCTATAGTATTAAATCTTAAAGCGTAACAGCACGACTGAGACTCATTTTTTAATGAATAACTAATAACAATAATAAAACAAATAAATTCGTGATATAAATCAAAAATCGTCAAATAAATTCGCAATATATAAATTCGTGAAAAAAAGCGCTTTCGATAAAATACTAAAATAGAGATCTATCGACAAAGACTACTCACTT